GGAGTCGATGGCTTATTCTGTCCAAAGCTGAAATTGAGGAAAAGCCACTAGCCTAACTCTGATTGGTCAACTCAGAATTAATACAGCAAATTCAGTTACTTTTATGACAGTTACTTTTTTTAGAGTTTCCATAGCAACCAAAATGTTTGCCGCTTGGAACACTTGTGTACAAATGTGATGTTGGTTCTTGAAATTAAGCATTTGAGTAGCACTATGTCAAAAAGAAATAACTAAATAGAATCTCTTTGTTCTTGTTGTGACTAGCCATGTTAATGACAGGGGGATACAGTCAGTTGCCTTTTCATGCAGCCACTCAGACTCATGGAGAGCCCATTTATCTAAGAAGTCATCATCTTCAGAGTGAGTAGAAAATTTTCTTGTGCAATGAAAACAAAATCTTATGATTATCATAATAACTTCAAACAGAGTTTTAATAGCCACTTGCCTCACAGCACTTTAGAAGTGCTATCATGTAATTACATGCTATCACATTGCTCCTGCATGTGCATGTAGATCTCACAGGCAAGAGATTAATTGTGAGCAGATATGTTTCGGGTTTTCATTGTTGTCTAAGTCCTACGCTGGTCAGATTACTGATGAAGCTTCGTTGAGCAACATTACACATTTTTACACAGTTTTGGTTCAATTAATGATACTCCTCACAAGTGAGAGATTTCTTTCTTTTCTGTGCCCCTTTTTTTGTATAATGCTTTGTTATTTCTGCGTAATGTAATTTGTTCAACAAGAGGTCACTCCTCCTTTTTTACTCTTGCATGTTCAATCTGAGTACATAATATTCTTAGCTGTAAATAACATATCCTTCCACTGAATTCAGTTGTAGCAGATATCATTGTCAAAAATGCAGTACCCAAATAGTATCAGAAAGTAATGATCTCAGGTGTTCTCAATTCACTTTTCTGTAAGAACTGTGAAAAAACAACTTCTCGGATTTGCACTGCACGTAAGTTATACTAGAGATTAAATAAGTGGGTTAATTTTTTTTTTCTGGTCAAGGTTCCTCTAGCTGGTTGCCATTATCAATGGAATATAGTCTGTGTTCTTCTACTGTGGCTGCTCAGACAAATGAAGGGCCTGATTGTCAGAGAAATTACTCTCAGAGTAAGTGATAGTAATTTTATGCAATTACAACATTTTATCATAGTCTAAGATAGTCTTAAGGTAAACCCGAACGATCTGATCAATTGGTTCTTTCTTGGTTGGGATGTT